AACAGTTCTTATTCACTCTTCACTCTAACCACACCTCAGATCTCCCAAATACCACACTCTATCTCTCCACTCTGATCTCTCCTCTCTCACACTCCACCTCTTTATTACATATCTCTCGGCTCCGCCTCTTAGTAACATTAGCCTGCAACATGAATACAGTATGTATGACTACTTAACATAATAAGGGTGAACACTACAGCCACCATAAGTCAGAATTGATGTGACAGCATATTGTTATTGTTGTTGCTGTTGTTACTCAAAAATATCTGGCACAGTCAATCAAAATTATAAAAACATTGAGTGGTATTATATAACAGAGTTTTACAAGTTTTAACCAAAAAACCTTAGTATTTTTAAAATATTATAATTTTTCAAAAATACCAGGTGTAGCCAATCAAAGTACAGCGGTGCCTCGCAAGACGAATTTAATTTGTTCCGCGGTTAATGTTGTCTTGCGAAAAATTCATCTTGTGAAACGCATTTTCCCATAGGAATGCATTGAAATCTAATTAATACATTCCTATGGGCAAAAAAGTCAGAACAAAATCAAATTTGGTTTACAAAGGGTTTATTAAGTGCTCTTTAAAGCCATAAATATTGTGCAGATGATTTTAAAAATTTCAATAAAAAACTTTAACTTTTTAAATATCGTAGAAAAACATTTAAAAATCAGCAAATGTGAGGCAGGAACAAAAAAACGGAAAACATTTGTCTTGCGAAGCAAGTCCATAGGAACACTTGTCTTGCGAGTCATCAAAACCATTTGTCTTGCGAGTTTTGTTGTCCTGCGAGGCATTTGTCTTGCGAGGCACCACTGTATTTACTAATTGCTATATCCTTCTGCTCTGTGTGCACAAGATTCCTTTGGCTGCTACTGTCTTATCTGCAAATGACTGCTCTGTAATTCTTCTTGTGGTTATTGTGTTGGTTTAAAGTGAAAGACTATCACTGAAAACATACAAGTACAAATAACTACGACCCAGAAGGTCATTATCGCTTTGCATGTTTAATTTTCATACCACAAAAGTTTTGCATCTTATTCCAAAAAGAACTGAAACAGAACAGTAGTTGAGATTGCACATCTACTCATATTCAACTACAAATAAGTCCCACTGAACACAGTAGGACTCAGGAGGTGGGTTTGCACTGAAAACTATTATTATAACAAAAGACACCACAATTTAGAATAAATAACCATATTTATTTTTGCAGGAGCAGGTGATACGTTTAATCAAAACATTAAGAAAATAAAACAAAACAAAAAACATTGAGCTTTCAATGACAAATAGTATTCTTTAAGGATGTGCATTAAGTTCTTGAGGGGAGTTCCAAACTTATGTACTGTTATTGATGTCCCAAATTCACATGGCTGATGGTGTTGAGGCCAGATGAGCTTCTTAGATGGAAATAGCTGCAACATGCATTTTGATTTCAAGCTCCTCCTCAGCTACCAGTTTGGAATGTATGCCCCCCTCCCTTTATGCCTATCTGAAACTCAAGGAGTTTCTTTTTAGCTGGGAGAAGACTGTCCAGTGCATGACCTGCCTCTAACAGAGTTGGGATTAGGAATTTAGTTAAACCACCAGGAACAGTAAATTTAAAACAAATTAAATCCAAATAAATAGTTTTACCTGGTCAGTGCTTTCTTTAGCATACAGTACTGCTTATTTTCTGTCAAGAGTCCAAGTATCCTTACTCCATCACTTTATCCATTGTACCACATTGTCTTTAAATAATTCAGTTTAGTGTTATAATCTCTATTAATATTAGTGCACTCAAATTTGCAGTCTGTGCTACATTAATACATTTCTCAGTTCTAGTATATATTGTTAGACAGAATAATACAGTTTCACAGCTAATGAAGTGAAAACTTCTAAGGCACTACAAAGAATGAAACTACCTTACATGATAAAATAAAATAATCCCATTGTAAAAGCCAATTACGAGGGTATACTAATAACTTGCCATCTCATTGGATTGCTGGGTAAATGAATGTAATGAACATTAATAAAGCATTGGGAGCAAAAAAAATGTTTTTTTCCATAGTACAGCTCATATCCACATGCTAAGATGGTTTCATACGACACAAAACAGCCTGTAACATTTTGCACTGGATGTTCTTCATTATGCATTACATTTGAAATATGGCATTAATATTCAGTGGACCAGTCTTGCAGTCATGGTCACGAGTTTTTAATTGCAGGGCTCCTCGTTATTATAACCTCTCAACCAATGCTAGTACTGTATTTTTACACTTCTGCTTTGAATTGCTTTCCCAACATGTGCTTTTAAGCTCACTTCCATGTTAGAAACTAGGCCAGTCTGTTTCTTGGCCCACTGCAAACTGCTGTTTTGATCTATGTGCCTTAAATAGTCTGACTTAGGAATGACATCACAGATGTTTCTTCCTTGTGCCTTCTGATCTGACAGGGAACCACTGGTCTGTGTTTCTTCACTGTTAGACACATGAACAGTGGTATTAATGTCAAGGCTTTGCTCTTTTGTGGCTTCCTTTGCCAGGAATCCCTTCCCTTCTCCCTCTCCCCACCCCACCACCAACAGACACACACAAAAGCAGGCTGCCCTTGCCAGCTCCCTGCTGACATTCAGGCGGCTTGTAAAAAGCTCTCTATCGAGGAAACCCTTTGAAATTCTGGAAAAATGATAAGATTGGTCTGAATTTAGTTATTCACACAGCCTTCTTGGTTCTGGTTGTCCTGTAACAGCCTTCAATCAGATTTCTCCTCTGTGTCTGCTTCATAGGTACAACTGGGCTAGTTGAAGCTGGCTTAGTGTTTTAAATAATGATTTCAAAAGCTTTTGCAAAACACTTTAACAATATACAGTATTCCATGTATCCCAAGATCTGGTTTGCAATCCAGGAAAGCACCTACTAAAATGAATCAGCTAATCTTAAAAATGGCATAGCTCTTATTTAGAGTGATGACAGAATCTAACCCTTTTGTTTCCTAACATTTTCAAAAGGATGCTTTGCTTCATACAAGGATAACTGCAAGCGGGATCTGAAGGCCTTAGGAATGGATCTCAACAGATGGGAAACCCTGATATCTGAGCGTTCAGCCTGGAGGCAGGCGGTGCAGCATGGCCTCTCCCAATTTGAAGAGACACTTGTTCAGCAGGCCGAGGCAAAGAGGCAGCCCCGAAACCAGCAAAATCAGGGAGCTGGACAGGGATCAGATTGTATTTGTCTTCAGTGTGGAAGGGATTGTCCCTCTCGAATTGGCCTTCTCAGCCACACTAGACGCTGTCCAAAGCACGTTACCATAGTCTCTTGAGACTGAAGGATGCCTACAACTTTGCTTCAGATGATAGGTACGTAAGATATAGACAATGGACTGGGGAAAAGACAAGTAGGTAAAGCTGGGGAAGATGGCTACAATTTCCCAACTTTGGCCTGACATGGAGTCATGTAATAGGAGAAAAAAGCAGAAAAGAAGTACCATCAGACACCAACCTAAGAAAAACCAACTCATGTTTGCTCCCTCTCAGCTTCAAAGTAAGCATGCAAGAATCATTAACTTTAAAGAACAGTGAACCATTGCTCCATTAAACAGCTGTGGTTTGGAATACAATCTTGGGGTGAGAGCATAGGGTGCATGTCCCACACATAATAGGGACAGGTGGCCAAAATGGACATTACAAGGTCATGGAAGTATATTAACTGTTAACTTTTTATTTTCCTCTGAAAATAGAAGTCATTTGCCTTGCAAAGTGGCTGTAACTGCACATAAGTTCTGGGTGGCTCCTAGCAACAGGAGTGGTGAATATTAGTAACTGTACATAGGGGAAAATAGTCCTGTGGAATGTGTCAGGAACATGAAAATTCACATTAATGACTTACTAGAAGAATGGGTTACGATGCAGTTGAAAGCCCAGATACCTGCTGCTCAGAGGCCTAACAAGGAGAGCCAGCCAAGGCAGGTGGCACCATGATTGCAGATTTACATTGCCTTTTCATCTGCTGTGCTTAGCAGTGCAGATTTGCACAGGAGTAGAAACAGATGAAAGTCCCCGCAAAGAAAAAAGCAGATGTAGTGTTAGCTCCTGCATGGTGACACTTACGAGACCATACTCACAGGAGGATGGTGGCCAACAGGTACTAGGCCTTGTCCATAAAATTACAACTGTTTTTAAATTCTACCATTGGATCAGTGTTCACTATTCATGTTAGGTTGAGTTTGGAGAGAAAGCCATAAATTACAAATCAGTAAACAAGATAGCAGTCACCTTATTAGCTATTCTTCACTCAATTCAATTGTTGTTTTTCTAATAGTACATATCTGACCAGCCAGAAGCCAAGAAGTTTGCATGGAGAAGCAGAAAATTCCAATTTCAGAAGAAAGGCTTTCTGAAAAATCAACCCCAACATCCCAGTGCAGACGAGGAGTTATACAATCATCATACCTGCAGAGATTGTATAATAATGCATAGACAACGATCATACTGAAGGCCTAGTGCTTTCCACTGAGTAAAAGAGCTCCTAAATGTCTCTTCTGTTCTTACCAAAGTTCTCGGGTGAATCTACTTTTTACAAGTGTCTGCTTCATATTGCCTCATTCACAGAACATCAGAAAGCTACAAACCTAATATAAGGCTATGAAAATATAAGCAGATCAAAAATAATTTATTTATTTATTTATTGTATTTATACCCCGCCTATCTAGTCATTTCGACCACTCTAGGCGGCTAGAATTCCTGCAATGACTATCTCTTTGAATTCCTGCTTAAATTTGCACATGAAAAACTTGTATCACTGAATACTTACCGTACACTATGTGTTGCCTTATCTTTATAGGCACGAATTGTCTCATTAGGATTGTTCTTTTTTTCTTTTTTGTTGACTCTATGCTATATTTATATTTTATAAACTGCCCCAAGTAGTGATTTCACTAAGTTGGACGGTCTATAAGCTAAATAAACAAAATATTTATGTAAACAAGTAACAAAGAAATAGTAGACATTGATAGACACACAGATGTAACAATCAATGTCCATAATTTTATTAGATTAAACCTTTTTTTATAGAGTGGAATTGTAGCTTCCAAAATATATAGCATGCTATTTTTCATTAGTAACATATTAATCATATACTATGCATCTCCAATTTAACTGATTATAAATACAGAGGGTGCTAAATGTTTGACAGATGTCACAAAAATCACAATTATGCACAAATGAACAGTTTATCGTGTGAATCCCTCCACTCTGGATTTAACACTATGGTGTGAGTTGTGTGCTCCATTCCTCTTCTCTTAAGCAGCACACCCCCGTAGAATTTCAGTCAATAACAAAGTGCATATTCTAAAGCATGTGGATCTTCATCTTTTATACAGCCACTGTTCAGCAGATGGACATTACCATGCAGGAATTCCGATTATGATCAGCTCATATACCTTTCCTTAACAGAACCATTACATTTTACAGAGAAAAATTTAAAAAGTTCAACTGGTTCAAATGAAGAGCTCGTTTGCTATTCACACTGTCTCAAGAACACTTGCCATTTCCTTGAACTTACTGTAGAAGTTCTAAAATGGAGAAAAGAAAAAGGTACATAAATATTTGCACTGAGACTATGAAATGTAGTATCTAGATGTCCACCCTGTCTGTGTCAGCTCCAAGTCCCGCCCACAGCTATTTCACTCTGCGGCAGTTTGTGCATTACAGCTTTCCTTTTCATATGCAAATTTCCTGCATTGTCTCTTTATGGAACCAACTGTAGCAGCCAGCTAGGTCTTTGCACCAGCATTTTCAGGTTTTGCTCACATCCAGAGAATTTATGAACTCATTTTTAACTATAGTTGTCAAGAATGGTTTACAGATAGCTAGAGTCCCAGTGAAACTGCTGCTACAGATGTCATATCATACCATGGTTGCTTTTGAAAAAGGAAGGAGGAGCCATGTGCAGAGAAAGGTGTGTACTCACAGTCCACATCAGGCCATAATGCAACAGTAAGCACGTTACATTTGCCACAACTCTGTCAAACTCTATTTTAGTTCTTTGATATACAGTGGTGCCTCGCATAACGAGCGCACCGTTTAACGACAAATCCGCACAGTGATCTATTTTTTTAGATTGCTAATGCGATCGCATTGCGATATTTTAATGGGTAAAACATTGCATTGCGATGATCGGTAAGCGTTTCGCTTACCAATCTTCGCATTGCGATGTTTCTAAAACAGCTGACTGGCGGTTCCAAAATGGCCGCCGAGTGCCCAAAATGCCCACCGCAACCATTTTCACACCCTGCCCTCACTTATCGAGGGCGCGAAAATGGCGGCGCTATGGAGGAACTTCGCTGAACGGTGAGTTTGAGCTCCACAGGAATGCATTAAACGAAATTTAATGCATTCCTATGGCTTTTTCCGTTCTGTTTAGCAATGTTTCCTCATAGCGATGATTAATCCAGAACGGATTAATGTCGCTATGCGGGGCACCACTGTATACATATTTCTCTACATGCTGTAATACATAAATGTGTAATAAATATGTAACTGCAGAACATCACTTTGTGTTAACTTTCACTAACGAGGCAAATAGAAACAAGAAAATGCATTCTCTATTCACATGTGACGTGCAAAACAAGCATAGTTCTCAACAGCTAACAGCTCAGTAGTTAACCTTTGGCAGACCATATTCCTTCAACCTAACCTCAAGGGGTTTCTCAGATTACATCGAATTAAACCACTTGCATATGGGGAAGTTCTGTAAAAATAGTAAACAATGTGTGATTATTAATAGCAAAATGACTGCCATTATGACCCACATGAGCACAGCTATCATAATAAGATTTCATAGATAGAGGGCATATATCTATTCATTATAAAAAGAGAGAGATACAAGTAAGTCTATCATGAACACACAGCCTTTAATAAGAAACTACTTAGGGACTAGCTGAAAAGAACAGACATTGCATTCAGCAGGATCAAGTTTGAAACTAGAGGTGTAAAACACTTCAGATCAGAAGTAGCAACAACAAATAAAAAAACATAAAGCCAGCGATTACTGTATTGTATGGTACAATATAACAAAAGGAAATCTAATAAAAATAATTTTAAAACATAATTCAGCTATTTCCATTGTCCTGGGTTCTTACTGCTTATATTCTCTGGAGCTTTTAAACTGGTATGGAAGTTTATAGAAGACGGATGCCTTTACCAAGACTTACTTAAAATGTACCATTTCAAAGTGATTCATAAGTGTGAACATTTTGTTCTGTTTCATGTTACAGAGTTGACTTATAACAATATGTACACACCTGTAATAGACATCAAAGTATATGAAAGCTGACTACAAACCTGAAATTGTGGAACTGTCATTTCAAAAGTTTTGTTTGTGATGTGTCCTGAAGCATCTGCCACTTTTACTGCTATTGTCACATAAGGGGATTTCAAAGATTTACAGCTGTCAGAGCTGACTGTCACCCCCAACTTCCACTGAAAATCAATAAGCTGCAAGAAATACAAATATTTTAGGTGCTTGCTGTTGCAATCAAAGTGATTCTGAGGAACGTAAACATACTAAGTGGCATGTTTAAACCTAACGCCAAAGGATGGTTTGGAATTCCATGAATACATAGGCTTAGGAGTGCTCTCGAATCCCCTGCCTCCTTCCTCAGATTCCTTTCCCTATTTCCTGACTCAGAGCAGAACAGAAATTTGCAGATTTCCAAGTTAAGTTTGTGCTGGATCCTAATCAAGCCTGCTGGATCTTTGTGTTCTAATCTAAATCACAATTACATGCAGCCTTTAAAACAGACAAAAGTCTTCCTTACAGTTATCCTTAAAAGGAGAGAGTCCATAGAGAAAGGAAAAAAAAACACTTTAGAGAAACTAAAACCAGTAATGTTCTAATTCACCAATCTGCTAAACTGAGGAGCTGCAAGATGGCTTAAAACACAATTTGACACCCAGTATACAGATTCTGTAATTCTGAGTTACATGAAAGCTATATTCTTCACATAAGTCAAGAAGTTTTTATACCACAGTCAGAACCTGTTCCTAAAATATAAGTTAACTCTGGATAATGTTCTGGACAATTGGACAACTCGGACATTATCTTTGTTACAGAAGAGAGTGCTATAGCCCCACCTTCTCCATCATTGCTTTTTTCATGTGAAAGGAGTGGCTGAAATCCAGTAGTAAGTCACAACTAGAATAGACTGATTGAATTGATGGATCTTATAGAGGAGTTGATTCATCAAATCCAGAAATGATTCAATGAGCCTACTCTAGTTGTGACTTACTACTGGGTTTCAGCCTTTGCATCTGAAGACCCTCTGGGATTCAGGGAACACCTATTCTGCAGAATCTTCATGCTTATAGAGCAAAGTGAAGTATGCTGCTTCTATACTGCCCCATAGTGCTTAGAGCACTCTATGGGCAGTTTACAATTTAAATATGTAGATTAAACATTGCATCTGCAAGCAAGCTGGGTATTCAATTTATTGAACTTAGAAGGAAGACTGAATTAACCTTGAGCTGGCTACCTGACTGAATGCTGGTCATGAGTGGAGTCTTGACTGTAGAACTGCAGTTTGACCAATGTGCCACAAGGCTCATGGCGCAAGATTTCCTCTTAATATAAATTACCAACATGATAAGAGCAATGACAGAGGCTGGAGCTATTGTACTTTCCTGCTGACAGCGGTAAGACCGATATCTTTGCCTAGAGTGGTCGTATTGACCAGATAGGCGGGGTATCAATCAATCAATCAATCGATCTTCAGTCTACTGAATGATTTCCTTGTCAAGTTTCCCTTCCTTGGAACATCCACATGCCTGCAATATCCTTTGAGGACCCCAGTGGAATTTACTTCAAATTTCACTTCAAATAGCTGTTCTCTCTTTTCAGAACTCCACCCTTATGCTAGAACAACATCTAGCCAATCAGCACATTACATTGAATAAAGAATTCTGGGGCTATAAATATTAAAAGGGCTTTGACCTGCACACCCATCTCACTATGTCAAGTTTCTTCAGCCACGTGAGAAGCAGTATGTTATTACACCTGTGGTCAAATTGTGTGGTAAAAATGTTAAGAGTCACCTTGGATTGTAAAAATCCACCCCAGAATAGTTTTCCCACCAACATAGCCAGACATCAATACATGAGGCAGGGGGTGGGCTTTGCTTAATCTTAATTACCTTCGGAGGCTCTCCAACATATTCAGACAAATTTAATAATATTATAGAAAGAATTTCAAAGATAGATACCAGGCAGAATCTAATGGGTTTCTCAGTGCCATCAGAACACAGTGCTATTCAGTGTTCATTATAAGTAAATAAAGATTCTCAAAAAAAATTATGCAGCTGGACATTTTACTCACTTCCATTTTCCACAGAAAGCATTCCGGTATTATCTTCATCAAAATAAATACATGTTTACCTGACCAACAGCCACCACATTCTTTGCATTTTCTGCTACTGTGATGGCTCTTCCCTGTTCATTCCATACGTGTCGAATAACCTGTACCGCTTGTTTTGGCAGAGAACTGACTGTATGGCCCAGTCTGGTAGAGAGCTCTTCTGAGGAGAGTTTATTTTTTGCTGCTGTGCTATAAACAGAGAGGAGGAGGAGGAGACAGAAAGGTAAAGAAGACTCGTAACTGAGAGATTTTAAATAGTAAAACTGGATTTTAAAATTGTTTTCACTCAAGAAAATGGCTACTAATTTTAGTTTTGTTTAAAATTGAATACTTTATTAATCATAACTGTAACACAGTTTGCCTGTGATTATTCAATTAAATCCTTGGAAATAACAAATACCATGGCATAGATTAAAAAGAAATGCAGTAGTTTGTTTTGCACCAGTGGTTTTAGAGTTGTCAGACTTCCAATGACCCTTTCTTCCTTGACATATCTGTCTTAAGAACATCCATTCTGTAAAACATCTCCTAATTGTAGAAAGTAATGAGGTCTAATCCAGGGTGCCAGAGCAGATGTCACTACTCTGCATGAACCTGTACCGGCCATTAATATGCTTGCAAAGAAAAATGTGGTTGATTAATATGGACCTTCCTTATGAATTAAAAACTGTGGAAACTACTGTTCCTGTCCATCAGCTGAGCAGGTCTCTGGAACCTTCCCTAAGCCCTAAGTTATGGGGAGAACATTTGCTTTATGCAGATCTGCACATGCAAGATATCAGGTAGAGTTAATGAAACCTCTGAGTCAGTAGAACTAAAAATATTCTGTCTGGTTGCATTTAGTTTTCTACAGCTCTTAACCCAGCTGAATTACACAAGTGCAGAAGGGCAACTGTTTAAACAGCTCCCAAGTTCCATCAGGCTCCACATTGCATGCCCAGTCTTAGACTCATTTCAATTACATGATTGGATGCACTGGCCCAGAACAAAGGAGCATTTACACTATTCCTCTTACACTCCAAAGAGGATCCTTGCCTGTCTTTGTACTGAGGAGAATTCAACACTGCAGTCTGTAGTTTCCTCCTTTCCATTAAAAAAGAGGTTAGCAGAGCCAAAAACAATCCAAAGAGCCATTTGTCTTATTTGTGAGTTCACATTAAACCAAATTTTTCATAGCCTGGCAAAATGCATATCTATGATTTCCACAAGGATATCCTGAGGTAAAAAGCAGGTTCAACACTTTCTATCAGGACTGTAAGAAAAATAACTGGTTTTTTTTAATTTACCAAAGCATAACTTACATTGAAAATACTTTCTAAAACTCAAGAAGACCCAGTGTGATGTAGTAAATATACTGATGGACTAAAATTCAGGAGACGTAGGTTCAAATCTCTGGTCAGCCATGGAAACTCACTGAGGGGGTGGAACTGGTAAAACAACTCCTCAAACATAGCACATGGCTTGAAAACTTTATCAGTCACCACATGTTGGATGCAACTTGACAACATATAACATGCAGGTCAAATATTATTCTAGAATTCATCACCACCATCTTAGAACTGCAGACCTGTCAAGGAGGCACAGCAGGAAATCAAACTCCTAATGTCTGAATCCACAGCCAGACACCTACTAGTTGCCTTGCTGCCCCACTGCAAGTCCTCCATGACAGATACCTAAACCACTGAGCTATGCTATGTACAGCAGAAACTAACAGTCATGTATGTCAAGAGCCGTTAAAGAGGAATCAAGGACTGCCTTTGCTTACCTGAATATAAATGAAATAGCATTAACTACTTTTGCCAGGTCACTAGCAACTATTTCAATCCCTGCTGCTTGAAATCTCTGGAAAATAAACACAATTCACAGGATTGGGGGGAAAAGGAGAAAGAGAGAGATTGTCACCTCTTTATAGTACTGTTTTCATATTACTAGAAAAACAAAAACAAAACAAGTTTACCTGACACAGCTCAATTGTATTTACAGCTGGGATCTGGCACTGTAGATACTGAATAACCTGTTCACACTAGACAAAAAAAAAGGCAAGGAAAAAAGAGAGATTTTAATGGTTGTGGAAAAACTATAACTAAAAAGCATATATTTTTCCTAAAAAGAAACTATATTCCTTTGCTTTCAGTATAGCTACATGAACATTGAAATTATAGCAAACAAATCCCTAAACTCTAATTCTTTTTCTTTTTAATTACATGCTCTCAAATGAATTCTGATTTGCAGCATCCTTTTTCAGGGTTTATTTTATTTTATTTTATTTATTTGTCCCCCGCCCACCTGGTCTAAAAGACCACTCTAGGTGGCTGGGTTTCCTGGTATAGAGCACTCCGAAGTGATTTACCATTTCTTTCTTCTGGGAGTACTCTGGGACTAGGAAGCTTGTCCAAGGCTACAACAAGTTGGCTGTTCCCCCAGGAGGCACAATGGGGAATCAGACTTCTGGCCTCTGGATCTGCTGCCAGGTACCCAGTTCTGTGAGCTATCCAGACAGCTCCCTGGCTCAAAACACATGGTGCTCTAGAATGGTAAATTCAAATAACTGAGGATCAATTATTTAGCAACTGTATAGACTGGAAAGCCTTGGCTAATCAACTTTCACAGTTCACTTACACTTGCAAGCTTTAATAAGTACAACAACCCACCATTCTTTAATTAGTAGAGGTACACTGAAATCAATGAGGCAAAGAATCCACGGTATACCTATTTTTAGTTGAATTTGGCTCTTGTATGTCACAGAAAATAAGGATATCCATTTGTTTCTTCTGTCAACTCCCATACATCTGAGTACCACCCAAACTGCACACACAGAGGGGAGCCATTGTATCATGATCTCTTCCACCTCCAGTTTTGTAACTATCCTAAATGTGCAGCACGAAGAGTCTGAGGAGAGAACTGTCCTAAAGTAAGTCACAGTTAGAGTAGGCCCATTTCAATCAACTGATCATAAAGAGACATTACGTCACCACTGATAAAATGGGCCTGGATGTTATTTAGTTGTTAAGTCATGTCTGACTCTTCGTGACCGCATGGACCAGAGCATGCCAGGCCCTCCTATCTTCCACTGCCTCCCGGAGTTGGGTCAAAGTCATGTTGGTAGCTTCGATGACACTGTCCATCCACCCATCTCGTCCTCTGTCGTTCCCTTCTCCTCTTGCTTTCACACTTTCCCAATATCAGGGTCTTTTCCAGGGAGCCTACTCTAGGGCAATCTACTAAACTAAGCAGCAGGATTTTCATCATTATATTTTGCATGCAAAGTCACATGATTCAGTATGCAAGAGATAACCCCTAGGGAGATTTCTTAATTTACAACATTTTGCTTGCAAATGTTATGCCATTTGTGTAATGACACAACAGAATTTCAGCCATTAACTGATTAAAAAAGGGAAACACATTTTACTTACTAATTCTGCAAACAGATCTTGTGGTATTCTTTTAATTATATCACTTGTGCTGCCAAAATCTACAAAGTAAAGATATTCTGCAGTTATTCATAGTCATTTCTACTCATGATTCAATGTAAACAGGATTTTATTTGACCTTCAAACATTAATATTATATTTTCCACTTTTTAAATGTACTGGCAATAAATACAGAGAGGTGGCCTGCCACTTATTAGCTGCAGCAAATGTGATAAATATTGGCAATTAAACCAAGCATGCCCTAGATCAGTGATGGCGAACCTATGGCATGTGTGCCACAGCTGGCACACGGAGCCCTTTCTGCCAGCACGTGAGCCATAGAGTCAACAGATTGCTACTCTTCCCCCCCCCCCAGCCAAACCTGAGCAGGCAACTGCGGTGCTGGTGCCTGGACAGGCGGAGGGGCCAGGATCCGGAGCAGCTGGTGGATCCGGATTGGGGTCTCGAGGCACTTTCGTGCCCGGGATTCCCCCTTCCACCGCCACTTCCAGTTCTGCCACTGCCACGTCCACCCCCACCCCCATTTTTGGGGTTTTTTTCTCCAGTTTGGGCACACAAGCCCAAAAAGGTTCGCCACCACTGTCCTAGATATTCAGATTTAGTAAATATGGAATCTAAAAGAACAATGAAATTGAATTGTTTTGAAGAGAGGAATTCAGAAATACAAGAGGCATGTTTCACAGGAAATACTGAGATTGCTAAAGGAACATGGCAAGGATGTCCACTTTCCCCATTGCTTTTCATCATTTCATAGGAAATATTAAACAGAGAAATTAGACGGAATCAAAGAATACAAGGAACAAGGATTAATGTCAAAGTTTATAAACTTCAAGCCTTTGCAGATTGACTTCATGTGGATATCAGTTCAGGTTTGCTTGAAGTTTACTCTTTTTTTGGCCTTCTTTTCACTATGATAAATTCCAGTTTACTTTCTGTCTAGATACACTTTTAACTTGTTTTTTTTTTTAAGAAATTAGATGGAATCAAAGAATACAATGAACAAGGATTAATGTCAAAGTTTATAAACTTCAAGCCTTTGCAGATTGACTTCATGTGGATATCAGTTCAGGTTTGCTTGAAGTTTACTCTTTTTTTGGCCTTCTTTTCACTATGATAAATTCCAGTTTACTTTCTGTCTAGATACACTTTTAACTTGTTTTTTTTTTTAAGTTGCACTAGTCCATGCCCTCCCCCCTGTAACTACTAGCCATCTCAACATTTCTTGCTCCTCACAGAACACCTTTAAAGTTGGTTCTCTTATTTTTAAATGTAAAAGTAGCAGATAATAAACCAGGGAAACTATCTTATGGACAAACGCTGGCTCTAGGGCATGGAAAGAGGGATGAGCACCGCGCCCTCGAGTGGGGCAGACACCACTGGACTAAAAATGTCAAGGGGAACCGTTACCTTTTACCTAGCAGATAATTTCTTTCAATGTCTGCCATCAATGGTATAACCTGACACTTTTATCTGGGAATAGATCTCCAGTGAATTTAACAGGAACTACATCCCATCAAACTGCATAGGATCCGACTGTAGATATCTGATAGGGAAGCTGCGTGTCTGGACTTTTATCATACCACTGTTTCCAAATTAGGTCTGCAATCTGTCATACACAGAAAAAAAAGCTTGCGGCGGCCCCAAGAAAGCGGCTTCCCTCAACTCACCCCACGGCTCGCTCACCATCCCTGCAGCCATTGGCCTGAAGAGCCACGCCCTCTCTCTCTCTATCACCGCCTCTCAGGGTGCCAGCCGTCGACAAACGGCGCCCCGATTGGCTATTTTAAAACCACTCCTAATCACACGAAGGGACCTTATTCGTCCGGAGCCTTTCCTCCTATCCAATCAAAAAAAGGCACCCGCCCCTAAGGCTGACTGGAGGCGGGTGCGTTGCAGGCGGCTGAGGGAAGCAGGGGATTGTCGCCTCCTGGAGAAGGGAAGGGCTGGACGTTTGGATACATTTCTGGGGCCCAAATCTCGGGGGATTCTGCATCTCGCGAGATTCTTTCTTCGCCGAGTGACTCGCTCCACCTACGGCGCAGCCCTTGTTCGGTTGGCATTTTTTTTTGTCCCAGAGCAGGCAGTTTCCAGTGCTGGTCTTACCTGCTGCGTAGAGTCCCTCCGGCCCCTGTGCAGTGTGGGGTCTTGACATGCTCCATGCTGTGGGACTTCTAAGTAGCCCGGGATGAGGCGGTGGGAAACCTGGGGGGGGGGGGGCTTCCCTGCGGNCTTGAAATAAAGCTTCCTCATTGCTTTTCATTCCTTCAAATTACTGCCTTCCTCTTCTTTGCTTCTCTCCATACACCCTCCTTTCTCCTCTAAAAACCAAAGGAGGGGGAAAAATCCCTTGTTTACATTTCTTGAGGGTTTCCCTCACCTGCTAGTCTGTGATGCCTCTTTTATCTTCTTTTGGACTTTATTGCTTTCATTGGAATCTTGCTCTGTGTGGGGTTTTTCCGCTGTTTCATCCCAGCATTTTTCTCGCTGCAGCTGCTTAATTTCTTTCCTCTTCAACGCAGTCGTTATCTCTACTCTTAGCAGTGATTTGCTTGGTTTTGCTTTTTTTTTTCTCCCCTTCCTCTTGTCTCTCAGCACCGCCCCCCCCCCGGCTCGTCCTTTTTAAAAACTCATTTTTTCTCCTGTGCTTCAAGTCCTCCTCATGCCGCATCCCCTTGCTCTAATTTTGCCTCCCTCCCACATTAAACGATTTAACTCTTTCTGCAGCTGCAGCTTTCTCCAGGACATTGCCGTTTTCCTTCTCACGTTAGAGTAACTCAGTCTTCAAGTTTGATACTCTTTACAATCAATCCCGTTACAGTAAATCCCATTTAAAGTCACACCATTCACTCAGTAACAATGCGCTCCAGATCACAGACATCTCTTTCACAGGTGGCAGATAGTGATGTGTATCCTTTTCTTGTCGCTGACAAATGAACGTCAAAGGGAAACTCCATGAAATTGCTGAATCGCCAAGCATCAAGAAATTTCATTCTTTAACTTTCAACATTGTTTGTTTCTGGAATTTGTTAGAGGGTTGAATGGCTATCTATGCATTTCAGTATAAGGGACCTTATTATGTAAACTACCTTCAGAGACGTTTTGTCTTCAATAGTGACCTAGAAATGTTAAAAATCCATTAATACAGATATCATGTCTATCTGAAAATGGCTATGAGGGGCAATATGTATAGAACAGGCTGGGCAACTTATGACCCTCCAGAAGTTGTTATTCAAAGATTGTACAGAAAAATTACAAAACCAGATATACACATATTATACATACGGATGGATCCAAGTGGTTTTCTTACAGCTCTTGGGGAGTTTTCTGTTGCCTCGGCAGGTGATCCTGTCGAAGCTCTGGCAGTTCTCTGAAATGGGAAAATGGCCAGGTAAGTAGAGCCAGGCAAGCCCCCTGGTTCACCAGGGAGCTAGCAGTGATGAAAAACGAGTAGGACGGAGACTAGAGCAATGATGGCGGAAAATTCGGAGTGAATCTGAACACAGGTTGGAGTCCATTTGAAGGCCTATTCCATGGCAGTGGCTGCAGCAAAGAAAAGGTTCTTTGCTGCTGCCATTGCATCTGCACAAAGTCATCCAGCGGAGTTGTTTTGACTGGTCAAGGCTTAGTGCATGCCCCACCAAAAGAACAAAATATCAACCACTCCACAACCCTCTTAACCCAAAATTATTGGTGTATGGTCTTCTTGTCAGTAGTCTGGCAAGAAGTCTCTCCTGTCAGTAGTCTCTCCTTTCATGGTCCCTCTCCCCAGGATATAAAGAACAGTAACCCATTTGGGGTAACACATGTTACTGCACTGCAAATCCCACCATCCCTCACCACTGGCTCTCCTGATTTCAGATGACTGGAGTTGCGGTTCCATAGTGTTTGGACAGTCATACACTTCAAGAGCCTGGAGATAAGGGAGCACTAGTCCAGAGCAGGACACAGTTGGTTTTTAGATTACAAATCCCAGACCACCATCACCACTTCTGTCAATGTGGTGACCACGCCATCTGGGGTGTATTCGTTGAAGTCTAAAACAGCGAGTTTCTTAAGCTCTAGGTTCAGGTAAAGGTAAAGGTTCCCCTTGACATTTTCAGTCCCCTCGTGTCCGACTTTAGGGGGCGGTGCTCATCCCGCTTTTCAAGCCGTAGAGCCAGCGCCTGTCCGAAGACAGTTTTCCGTTGTCACGTGGCTAGCGTGACTAGGGAACGCTGTTTTACCTTCCCACCGAGATGGTACCTATTTATCTACTCGCATTTACATGCTTTCAAACTGCTAGGTTGGCGAGGAGCTGGAACAAAGCGACGGGAGCTCACTCCGTTGTGTGGATTCGATCTTATGACTGCTGGTCTTCTGACCCTGCAGCACAGGCTTCTGCGGTTTAGCCCACAGCGCCACCATTACAGTGGGAAAAAATGAGGTCAATTGCATATTATACTTAATAATAATTTTGAAAAATTATGAATTTATGTAACTATTATTGAGTTCTTGAAGGATTTTTTTTTACCAAGGAGAAGTTTTATAAGGGAGGAAGCAATACACTGTACAGTGCATTGCTGTCACAGTTATAGTTGCCTATTTCCTTGGACTACTATCATGGATGGCCCTTTCCACAATCAGCCAGTTGGAAACTTTCCTGCCCACCATTTCCTTCTACATACCTGCTCTTTTGACTTCACTAAGGCAAAGTCCCTGGTCTCAATTTCTGACCCTGAAGTCCCTAGGAATGAGGTAATGTTGACTTGGTAACCCCAGCCTGGCAACTTCTAAAATAATGTGAGTGCACTTGTGTACCTAAATTAGGGCTGCTCTTTGAAAGACAGATTAGTGGTTTCCTGTGTGACATGCTCCCTAAAGAAATACCATCCTAGGTGGATGAGAGGACCAAAGCACAATTATAGCTGGGTTCAGAAAACAGGGAAGAAAAGCTTTGAAGAGAACATTTTTGCAACCTTGCTGATTCATTCATAAAATACGACTACCACTGACAGGGCAATGCCTTAACAAGGACTTAGCTAAAAGTTACCAAATAACCAGCAGACTATGTTGGGCTCCTTTTCAGGCTTCATGGTTTGTTAAACAAATAAAGTAAGAAGGGGAAACTTGGGAAGGGGACTGGGCTCTCACAGAAAAGGCCTTGTGCAGTATATGGTATCTGCTATCCGGCTGCATCTGAATTAGTGACCCTGCTCCCCAGTGAATTCAGTCTGGGATGTAAACCCAGGTTACCTGAGTCTTAACCAATCACTCTATCCCTGACACCACACTGGCTCTTAAAATACTTCTTTCAGAACTAAAACACTGATGTTCACTTCCTACTTTTTAGAAGTAAATAGCCAAAAGAGTCAACATTTTAATATTTTTACATACAGTACTGTATATTGAGGTTTCACCCTTTCCAGTTATTCATGGGGACCAGAATGTGACATGAGGCAATCCTACATACTAGGGATGTATCCATTAATTCATTAATTAGATCAAACAATTTAAAAAGTACCTTTGATTAAGCAAGCAGCAGGGTTTTAAAGAAGACAATATTTCCAATACAAGTACTTCAAAAGATTAGGTGTTCTGGTGCCATAAAAATCTTTGTTTTTGCTATAATTATTTTGAAAGCACATTTTCTTATTCCAGCAATAATCTGCATTACACACTAAAGATCATGGCCAAGATTATGAGTGCATCTTGAATCTATTGTAGCAACTATAAATGTAACTAAAATCATAATTACACATCCCTTATTGCATTACAACTGTAATGTGACCAAGTACAGTGCATTGCTGTCACCTTTGCTAATTGCAAATGAATTACAAGTTACTGGGTATTTTAAACAGCCCATGTAGTGTAGCAGCCAGAGTAATCAGGCTGACTCAGGAGACCTGAGTCCAAATCTCTGCTTGCTATGGAAGCTCACTAAGGAGCAGCAGTGGTCAACCACCTGTACTTGAACATTGCAGATTAGGTTCACTATAAGGCAGAAGCAACATGCTGACACATAATAACTGATTATTTGTAGCTAGGCCCTGCAAAGATTTGAATAGAGTTACTTCAGATATGATTCCCTTCCCCCCTCCCCTGGAGCTACAAATTTATTGAACAGCAAAGCATTTTTCTGCTAAGGTTCTTTTTGCAGTGGTAATACTAGCTGTTGTGTTAGATTCGAAGACTATCCATGCCGTGCTCTGAAAACGCTTGTGTATCACATGATGTCCATCTGTTAAGTTTGTCCCAAACCAAGCTCAAACACGAAACAGTGATAATTTAAGGAACAATGCACATAATATAATGGCTTTAATATGCAGTTCATGGCAATACACCCTCACCTCATATTATGATAAATCTGTCTGATACCTAATGCTCCATTTAGTTAAGGTTAAGTTGATTGCAACAGACCTGTCTCTTTGATTCCCTAATACTGCATTTAATTAAGACTAAGTTGATTATATCACTGGCAAAAGAAACTAAAGATAATTTTTTAAAAGTTCACACGTCATAAGACACATGCTACTAAATGGTGTTTGTTGCACTGAGGACCAGAAGGGGGAAGTCATCCTCAAACATCTGAGGACGTGCAGAAAACACCTCTAAAGGCTTGTCATTGATCTGGTTCCCTCTCTGTGTCACATCATTTCAGTTTTAAAAATGCAGATTGTTTCTTCCCATTTCATATATTGCCACAAAAAACTGTGGTGTCATGTAAAGTGTGAATCGACATACCAAATAACCTACAGATAACAATAGCTAAAATATCACTGGCATGTATTAATTTACAACATATTAATTAAAAATGAATAGACAGAAGGAAGTACTGCTGTCAACAGCTATTACTCAGGATTATCAGGTAATGCCAGGTGGCATTATGCTCAGGTGGTTCTTCAGTATTGACTACTGGAAACTGGGATTAATAAATAGGAGCTGAATCATATCTTAATGACACTGTGGCTTCCTATGAAGCAGTGTTGCTCAATGAAAAGTCCTGCTTAGACAAGTGTGTGGCAATCACACCTTCACACCTGTCAAATGCTTTTAACCTTAGCAGGAGGAGTTACCTTATTGTCATGACCAGGCCCATAGACAGAGGCCAATATACGCCTTTGTATGGGTCAAGGAAACAATGGCTGTTCTCAGATTATGGGGTTTCTGAAGGAATTTAACTGGCCACGGTTCGAATCAGAAACCTCTAGGTTAGTTGGCCTCTTTTTTGTGGCCTGACTCAACAGTGCTCTTCTTACACAACTGCTTGGGTTGAAAACCTCAGTACTGTATATTATGCACAATAAAACAGAAGTGTGGTGGGACTTTTTACATTAAGAGAATCCTAGAGTACTTTTCCCTTTCCCCAAACATAGGGACCACAGCATAGGCATATCTTTTTAAAAATGAATATATTAAGGTATTTTATATAGGTTGGGGACTTTATTGTATTTGACACGTTAGCTGTGCGGAAAACACCGTACAGTATATCCGGACCGCGCCCCCAAACGACTACATCTATTTTTTTTGTAGATGCCCGTCGCAAGGCCCGCTGCTCGCCCCTTGTTTCACTCCCGGAGATTCCCATGTCGGGATCCGAGCCCCTTTAAAAAGCTCAAGCTCTGCCCCCTAGAGCCAGGAGGATGTCTCTGCAGCCTTCTCAGCAGACACACCTCCCTTCATCGGGGCCGAGCCAGTGGCGCGGGAGAGCTCATTGAGGGCCATAGAGGGGGCCATTTTGGAAAGCGATCTAAAATCCGATGGGTCACTGATCTTACTCTCCTTTCCAAAGTAAGAAAATTTTTCCCCACGGAGATAGCAGATATTTCTAATAGAGACAGAGAAAAACACGAGGCCCTGGAGGAAAAAAAAGCGCGGGGCGAAGGGCAGGTGGATGCGTAGCCTCCCCCGCCCCGTGTGGAATTGGTGCAGCCCATGTCGTGTTCGGGAGACGGGCGAGCGGGGCGGGGCAAAAGGCTGGCTGGCGAGGTGGTGCTGTCAAAGCACAGGCGTTTCGGTCCAGCGCTTGCCGAAGAGAGCCCTTTCTACCCCCGCCCCGCGAGGCTCCCTCCCGTCGGGTCCCCGAGACGCTCACAGCCATGGACGCCCACCGCTGGCTGCCGCTGGAGGCGAATCCCGACGTGAGGACGGGAGCGGGGGATGGGACGGGAAGGAGAGGCGTGGCTCGCCTTGGCTTGGCTTG